TGCATGGGTTTTAATACAAATTGCATGAAGTATTTAATTTTGGCATTGTGGTCGCACAGAATGAAAGGAATGATTTGTTGTTTTATCTGATTTAAATCCGCCAGATGGTTTTAATGGGGACATTCTTGAAAGAAATACTACAATTTATCGATCAATCGAAGAAAAAGGGGATAAAAACGATTTGCGCGAAATGAATTGAGATGAAACTTTGTTCAATATTATAAAAATGGTATAGCATGCTGCGTAATACTCATAAGCATCATTGTTTTGCAAGCGCAAAGAACGTCATTGAAGTTTTTTTTCATTAAACATAATATGCCAAATACTACAACCAAATGAAATGTACTCAATGCATAGCATTTTTGGGTTTCCTTGAAATGACATTCACAATAAATTCTAAATGTGAAACATCTGATATTGAAGGAACGAGACTGCAAGGAAAATAGTACGCATGCAATCATTAAGTCGTAAAATGAGTGTCGGAATGTTACGGCAACAAATATTTGCTACAGAGTGAATAATAATCAAACAAGGTTTGTTTTCATTTTTTTTGTTGTTTTTGTTTTCGGGTATGCGTTTACATGATAACATTATTATTCGTAATTACATGCCGCAATCCATCGTTGCTGCATGATAGACATGGATAAAGTAGATCCGTGTTCGCGTGCAAGCACATATGCTTTGGAGTTTGTTGATGTGCAACAGCGTCACAAAACTTCCTGTTTAAATGGCTATGACAAATGGAAGTTGAGATGATGTTATCAACCAAACAAAAGTATGGACGATGTAAGTGATAAGCAATTTCAGTTTTTACGACAAAACTTAAAGGAAATTTTATCATAAAGGGAAATACATTGCTCACCGAATTGTTTTACGTTAATTTGGTTTAACTTTTGCATTTTTGTTTGGCATTATTTGTAAAACGGATGTATGGTACCATACCCGAGACAAATATGCATGTTACTGAATGATGTTGAATATTTATCGGTTTTTGGTAGAATATGTATGTCAATGTTAATTTACCTCAACAACAGATTGTCAAACATTAAAGATTCTCTTGTGATCTGTCAAAGATGCAGAACACCCATGAAACAAAATGAAAACAACAACAACAAAAAAATCGAATCAAAACTTTGCTTCCAAAAGAGTGCGTGCGTGTTTTATGGGAACCATGTATATGTATGAACACGATTTGAACGGATAATGAAACGGGAGAAAGATTGTCTTTTGTGAATGAACGGAGCGAGAAACGAAAAGTGACGACAACCAGAGATAATATTCCACGAATATTCCACGGAGACCGATAAACCAAAATCGAGAATATCTATGGAATAACGAAGAAGCGAAAAAGAATCTTGCGGTTGGAAGCACTTAATGCGAATCGTAGGTTTTTTTCTCTTTTGTTTTTGCCACACTAAATACTCTCTCTCTCTCTCTCTCTCTCTCTCTCTCTCTGCCTCTTTTGTTTGTTGTCTGCAAAATAAAGCAAACAAAAGGGAACCATAAAGTTTGCTGATTCCCACAGTATCAGATATTCAGTTTGAACCTCCGTAGCAGAAAGATATTATATCACTTGGCTTTATCGTTGTTGGTCATTTGGTGACCCTCCTCTGTTCGGCCACGTTTCTTTTTTTCGTCGGCCATTCCAAAAACAAATTAATCTGTTATTATATCGGTGCTATGTACGTGTACAATGTGTACATGTATATATGTATGTGCATCGTGATTCATGGCACTGCATTGCATACATTAAAAGCATGTGTATACTGTCCCATCGTTATCCGTTCGTTGAAATTTTACAGTATAAACTAATTGACTTTAAGCAAACAATGGTAGTTCAGTTTACCAAAATTGCTTCTGAATGACGGATCGCAATTTAATTACGTTTCATCTACTCGGAATATGCCAATGGCGTATCCGTATTATATTTTCCAACATCGACCGATTGTGCTGTGTAAAACGGCGCGAATCGAGAGAATTTGGCTTCGATTTTAAATTTTTCAATTTCAAAATCCAATCAATAACCACACAATTGTACAAACACGGCATCAAATTTTTTGATATTTTACCGAACTAAAATTGATTTGCCGAGAAGCAATAAGCGAACAGAAGATAAAAAAAAAAACGCGGGAATTGAAAAATCTCGTTTCGAAGCGACCATCAATTCATTTCAGTCGTTGATAACTACTTTGAAATGTGCAAATGATAAACAGTCAAATGCATATTTGGTATTTTCCACCATTTGATACCTCAAAGCGAAAGAACATGCCAATTTTTTCACATCCATATGACAAAATTGATGAATACGATCCCAATGAATAAATTAATCAAGCATTGCGTAAATTTAATTGAAAATTCATCAACGAACGTTTTGGCAATACAAAAAGGTTTCTGCAATGTGAACAACAACAACAACACAAAGAAGATCCAAAAGCCAACATAACAATTGTTATGCTACAACGGCACAGCGATTCAACGTAAATTCATGAGGCCACAGAAAGAGCAATTCATCGTATGAATCGCGGTCATAATGTTTGATCCGGTTAATGTACACATGAACGAATCTTTTGATGTTATCGAATATCGATATCATTCAAGCTAAAAAATGTTCATTTATGCATGTTGATACCAGTGAAAAAAAATGCGAAAGAAACTGCCACAACTTTAAATACAATACAGTACGATCTCGATTCGTCACATTCGGATATAAAAGCATTTTTTTTATAATTTTCCAAAAATAAAATTGTTTTCTTTTTTTCGCACAAGGTGTTCTTTTTTATAGAAAAAAAATGAGTTTCAAAATAATAAACAATTCCTTTTATTAGCAAAAACCAATCCGAACAGAAAAACTACTAATAAATTTTTAATACGAACTAACCGAACTGAAGTTAATAAATTTCTCTTTGTGCTAAAGACATATTTTGTCGTGGCAAATGTAACAAAAAAAAAAATGTTGTATTCATGCGAGTGTGTGTATTCTTTGAAAAGAGCCGTATTAAAATATAATCAAAATGGATACATAAAGTTCAAGTATTTAATGTATTGTTGTATGATACTCTTGAAACGAAAGGTGCACACGAAATCATTTGAAGTGAATGCTTAAAATTCGATTCAATTTTGTATTCCTTTATGGGCTATTGTTGTCATTGTTGGTTGCACATTTGAAGGGTGTATTATTTTTCGATATAATTCTCGAATTATAGACAGTACTCAATGTAAAGCGAAAGAAACGAGAAGGAGGGAAACACCGAATTTTAAGCGAATATTCTTCTTTGTTGATGTAGTCTTTTGATTGTTTGCATTTCGAATATTTCAACTCATGTCAATGACAATGACACTTCAGCCAAAAGAATGTGTATTCCTTGAATCGTTAGATCGTTATTTGTTACTATTTTACCAGAAAAAAAGAACGCATCAAAATAAAAGATGACAAAATAAAAAGGATCTGATGATGTGTGTTGTTCATCCCTTAACCTCAACAACAATTCATAAATACAAAATGCATTTACAGATGTACACCATGGTAGATACAAACCAACACAATCCTGGATTTCAGGTAGTCAAAGTCAGTTAATCCAACTGAAGAAAAATTGACGATTCAAAGCCGAATTGCGAAAAGAAATAAAAACAAAAATTATCGATCACAGTTAGAATCGTGTTTCGTTTCGCATCGATGTTTTTCGGTGCAGCACAGGGCGACCCGAATAACTTGAAAATTGTTAAGAATGTAATCTTCTCGAAATTATCAGTATACATTTCATGTTGTATTCGTTACCCTTGGACGACACACCACGACATTTCTACTTCATTGCCAATGAGATATTTGCCATTGTTACCAAATGCATGGTGCATAAAAAGAAATGTGCACTTCTTCATTATTCATTTTGACCAATGCTCGACAGAAAAAAAAAGAGAATAATCCATAGAATTTTAAAGAGACTATCACTCAAACATAATTATCGGTGTCTTGTGTAGTTTTTGTTGCACAACAAGAGCGCATTAAATCTATTCAAAAGTTCATTCATTCTCCATTTTACACATTCTTTCATCGGTACATCTTGGCCGTGCGTCTTATTCTTAAGTTGAACTCAATACCAAATACCAATATCAATAGAATTGCTATTAAATGTGAAGAACATAAATGCATATCATACTCATAAGTCATCATTAGCTCGTTATTCATAAGCTGCGTATTGGTGATAGAATGTGTATTGTTATCTAATGCATTTTCTATACCTGCATTAATAAGTTGACCGAAAAAATAAAATTCTTGTTGGAGAATTTAAATGGTTCGGACCGTTTGCTATAACGTATAAGGAGACACCGCGTTGTTCAACAACAACAAATCTACACTCATTTTTGGTAATGTATGCGAGCTAATTTATTCGATTATAAAAATTATGAGCATGTCGATTTTTTTCCCAAAGAGCATGTCATCATTCTTGCTATTGTAAACGGGTTTTTGAGACCGTGAAAATTCTGGTTTCATCGTTTTAATTATTCATATTTTTCATATAAATTTTTTTTTTTCTTTTATCTGACAATATTTTTCAATTCGTCTCCCTCGATTAATTTCAACTCTTATTCATATTTAAGTCGAACAATGCATTGATGAAGGATTGTATTTTTTTATCGATTTTCACTCAATGAGATCGGGTCGTGTAGCGTAAAAAATCGATTATCTATTTTAAAAGAAATCGATATCTAGAAATATTTCAAATATGTAAGAGTGCTTGTGAAACACTTAAGATCCAGTTTTTTTTATACATTTGAATACATCATTCATTTGCACTTGACAATATTTACCACGACAAATTTAAATCGAATCAACTGCAATTGATACTGAACGAAATTGATTATACATGTATATTCTCTTTTGTTTTAAACCACTGAATGGTTTGCTATCATGATATCATTGCCATTTACATAGCAAAAGTTTTTTTGCGAAACATAACAAACAAAAAAAAGAACAAGCAAACAAACATTCGTGATTTACATACCTTTTTGAATCCATCGTCGTGTTTATCGATTGTGACTGTGTCGGCGTTGTCGAGTTTTTTGTATTTACTTGCTCGACCCATTTTTTTGCTATCTGCTGAATCGATGTTCCAACTTTTTATTTCACAATTTAGCTATTGTTTTTTTAAAGGGTTTTTTTTGTCAACCACCCAATTCTGCGATTTGCAAACTGCACTCTTAAACCGTGTTAAATATACAACAATATACAAGGTACTGAATATGTATCACCAAATATTAATTCGAGATTTTGTAAACAAACACTAAATACGTGATGAATGTAGAAAAAGAAAATTTGTTCAAAATTAGATGGTCTTGTTGCCAGCACGTCTAAGTTAATACTGTCGAAGATGATTTCTGATCCAAAATGTTATGGTAAAAATCAACAAAACCTATATTCTCTACATTTTTTTTTTTTCAATTTTTCTTTAACCATTGTCTGTCTCTTTCTCTTTTGAAAAAATTCTTGATGCACTACGAGTCAAAGTGTGTTATGCCTTGTGCGTATGTGTGCATGTGTATATGTGGTGTATGTGTTTTCGGTGTTGCATTTGAAGCCGGCGTTTATTTCATTTTCAATTAAGGATATCGTTGTATTGCATGTGCACACCGACCTAATAATAGTGTGAGCATTAAATTTTTTTTTTCGATTGCTTATCCACAGTTTTCGTCTTTGGGCCTTGCAGATAGACCTTCGGCTTGTTTTCTTCTGCTTCTTCTTCTTTGTGAGATCCTTTTTGACGATGTCTTTTGTATATATTCTATGTGTCAGATATATTTTAAATAGCACCGTTCGTATTGTTGTTCTTGAGTATTGTAATATCACCACGGGGTACTAATGTTTTTTTTCGCTCTTTTTCTCTCTCTAGATGCCCGTTTTTTTCTCTACATTTAAATGGTCGCTGTGATGGATCATTCACTCTAATGTAAAATGTATGTTGTGTCCCAGAGAAAAGTGCTTTGTACGCTGTGTCGTCCATTGCACGCTTCAACATAAATATTAGGTGTTGAAGTGAATTCATTTCTTCAACACATCTAATACCTGATGCAAACAGTTTTTCTAATTTATTTCAACCTCTTCTCTTAAGGCTTTCTCTTGTGTGTGTTTTTTTCTTCACGTCTTCGGCAAAGAATTATTTACGCAACACTTCTCATCTTAGATATGATTTCAATGTGCATCGAATGTAGTTATCAGTTTGTTTTGCTTTTTATCGGTTCGTTCCATGAAAACTGAGACAAAGGACGATTTAAAGTGTGAAGTCGCATTGAAAATGTCTTGAAATTCTTGGCAACGTTGAATCATTATCTGTTCTCTTTTTATAAAATTTGTATCATCAATTAGTCGTTCTAGGGATGTCACGTATAATTTGTTCAGTTGGATCTGGTGTGCGTGACAAATATTTCCTTTTGTTTGCTGTAACTGCATACCGATAAGTCGAGACATCAATTTGTTATGTGTGTATGTTCGTGTTTGTTTTTTTCTAAATAAAACTATTTTTACGTTATTTTCTTGACGAAATATTTTTATAGACCTAGAGAATCGCGTCTGTGTCCAAGTTTTTATTGAGTCATCATTATCTTTGTATAACATATGCGAGTTTATTTATTTTTTCAAATATTTTATGGTGACGGAATAATGCATAATGGGAATTCAAAGAAAAGACCGGATTTGTTGTAACATCTTCAAATCGATTCGACTACTGTGTAGCCAAAAATTGGATAAATTGTACAAAACTTAACACTAGGATTGTAATGAAAAGTAGAATAAGCGGATGAGCACTGAATTAGGAATCCTTCCCTGCTAACATCATTATTGTCATCATAAAAATGGGTAATCCTCTGAGATTTTAATCCTTAAACTCAAGCACAAACAAATGTATGGTTTTATTTGGTTTTACTTCGATGTTGAATGCGGCGCAAAACTGGACAACATACAGAGAGAGAATATGCAACGATGACAAATGACCGCAAGCTCTTCACAAGTTTCGAAAAATGTGAAGATGATGATGATTATGGAATTAGTATTATTGTTACAGTAGTCTCTTTGAAAATTCTTTTGTCGAAATGAAGACAACACGAAGAAAACTCCATCAGACATTTAAGCATGTGTGAAAGAAACCGATTCGTACATTATTTTTTTTTCTTTCTGTGGTTTTGATAAAAATGGCGTACATCTTTGGACGATTCATATTTCGTTTCATAAAGATATCATTTTTAGAAATTAAGTCAAGTGTGGCTGTCTCAATCAATTTAAAATTTAACATTTGTATATGAATGCCACACCTGAAACTGATCGATTTGAACATGACGATTTCACCAAAATGCCATGCATATAAATGGTATTACAGTTGCGTACATTGAACATCCTTAAAAGAACATTTTCATAAATCAAAAATCGAACCCAAACCGTAGCCGATCGCACTAAATATTTTATGATTTAGACCGTCAATGTACGTGTATGGAAGAAAAATACATCGAAATAAATGTGGCATAGCCACCGCAGAGATATCTAGAATTGAGCAAGAAAATGACCATTTGCAATGAAGCAAATATTTGAAGCGTCCCGACAAATTATAGCCAAATACATGGATGATATGTATCGGAAACGATGGTGTTTGCGAAAATAAAAATCGTTGTAATGCATTATATTAACAATAATCGTTCGTGTCAATAAAATATAGCCACAATTTTGAGATCGTGATATTGGCATCACTAAACGTTAAACCCAATAAAATGGGAACGGAAACAAGAAACCAGTGTGACATCCACTAAATCATATTTTATTGCAAATACATTGATGTTCAGATAAAAGAAATCGGCGTTCAGTGTGTATTTTTTTCAGCGTACACTATGATGCACTGCGTACAAAAATAAATGCCATTTTCCCCATTTTCATCACACATTTACGAAATTCGCTGACAATGCACACATTTAGTGTACAAAGATGGAAATTATACAGAGAAAAAAAGCGATTGAATTTAATCGAAACTAGGTTAGATTTGGATACTTTGGTGGCATTGAAACTTTTAATGCAACATTTTTGTGTCGACACTTTCAATAAAAAAAATTAATTAAATTTTAAGCGCTATATTTCTTTTATCGATTTCGAAGAAGTGAAACACTTCAGATCGAAAGGAGAGAGTATTGTGGTGAGAGGTTGAAAGAGACAGAGATAGTATTTGGACTAAGATATTTGTTTAAAAAAAAAATCATTTTCAAGATTGGAATGGATATCGTTCCTCTATCTCCATATCGTTAGCCATTGTCGATGGCATGCTGACTATTCATCGAACCAACCGACCGAACAAACAAATTCAGTGCAAACAAACAAATGATTGAATGATTGCAAATCTGTAGTGGCATTATGCTATCTGAGAATAAGTAGCAAAAAATGTGATAAGATTAATGGATTGGCACTTTAGCCAATGGATTGCACCATCAAATCATGATTGATGTTTCTTATACAAAAGTTAGGTCATTGATTCATCATTCATGTGACTGGAGCCCCACATTCACAAGCATCTTGCGATATGCTTGGCTGTATCAATCATCGCTCGAATACGCAATTTGATTTACGTTTGAAATGCACAATCCATCCAACAGATAGAAGACGCATTATCTGTTAAATAAAAAAAAACGATTATCATTTATCTAATAAATTCGAATGTATATTATCAAAAACATTTGCGCAAAATAATTTTTATTCGCTTGATTTGATATGTTTTTTTTTGTTGTTGTAATATTCAATGTTCGATGGCAATAATAAGAATGAACAAGTTAAAGTTTACTTTGCCAACATCGTGAAAATAGCTAGATATCCTTGCATTTGAATTGTCTCTCTGTGTAAATATCAACGTTTATTCTTCATAACAATTTTGTTTTATCAGTTTATATTTCACTTTGAAAACTCTTATTGCGCTGCGCCGAGCGTTTGTTCGCTCCTTTTTCAAATACATAAATAATACATATTCACTTCCAAGCATCAAATGCTCAAAACTTCATTCTTCATACATTTATTCGAAATGGTTATGTTAACGCTTTTGCCATTTTCTTTCGTCGCTTACATTTTCTCTCTCTCGATCATCAAATAAAGTATGATTTTATTATTTGCCATATAAAACACACACACACACACAGAGAGAGAGAGAGAGAGAGAGAAAGAGAATAGTGTGCGCTGCAAAAGTTCTGCATGTATTCCATCATCTCGACTCTTCTTCTTGGTGTATATGATAACTGCAAATTAAGCGATTGTTAAATGATTTTGTTCTATCCGAAAATGTATGCGTGATAATAAATATATCATACATTTCATTCACTTGAATAACGAAAAAACTCATCATTTTGATGCTCACTAACGCAAACTTCTATGCTTGCAAAAATCGGTACCCTTTCCACTTTTGCCAAAAAAAAATCTATATAACCGCAGGCATTGACATTCATAGCGTAACAAACGCAGTTGCTTACAATTCAATGCTATAACGGTTTTCCACTAAAAAACATCTACGCAATAATCTGATGTGAAACTGTGCTTGTTATTTGATTCTGTTTTTTTTTGCGTACTCATTTTATATCATAGGTTTTTATGATTTTTACTCTTGACTTTGCAAAATCAGTTATGACATAAGTGATTTGAGTTTTCATGAGCTCTACGATCTTGAAAATTCAAACGAAGTTACGATTGAAATGTAGTAACCTTTTCATTTTTCATGTTGTGTAAAAGGAGTGAACATTTTCAAATCTCGCATCGATTTCCCAATCAAATGGCGGCTCAAAATTTTAATATTTTCAAACAACGAAATGTCTTTATCCATGCCACTTTATCAAAGCGCTGCGGCAGCACTATATTTTTATTTTCATTATTTACCAGATACACACATATATCTTTAATTAAGTATTCTTTCTTCACTTCTTATTCTTCCACCATAAAGTTCATAATGCAATTCCGTTTTGGCAATCGTACATTCCATGTCAAAATGAAATGCGACACCTTTCTTTAATTTCTGGATCCAACGAAATATTAAATTGTGTGCCAAATCTAATCGCATTCCATGAGAACATAAATAATAATTTTTCCAACTCTGAATGCTGTAAAATGTAATTCTTTTTTCTATCCCAAATACCTTTGAAACGAATGTGAGATGCTACTGGAAACATTTGCGCGTACAGATTTAAATTGTTGAAAGAAATCACTTTACTTTTGAACATTGTGAATTTCAACAGGGGGTCGTAGCATGCCATCATTCTATTCCCGAACTTAATGAAACGTTTGAATTACGCAGCAAAATCTAATATCTTTTGCATTCAACTGTTGATGGTGGTG